TTTCACTATTATGTCTCCTTAATTTACCCCATTATTCCACATTGTTTCCTTATTTGTATACCATCATGCCACATTATTCGTTCTTACGCCTCTTTATTCTATAAACGCATCATTCTAACACTCACGTGATTTTGTCACTATAGACAAAGAAGGAAAAAAACTGGTGTTAAACTGACAATAAACACCGGTTAGGGACTACTTGTATATGCGCTGTTATGTTTTCACCCTCGATTGTATAGTTTACAAAGCATTTTAAAGCAACAATAAAAAGCATTTTTATTTATATTTTCAGTTCTTATAATGTTTTCTTTTCATACAATACCGAAATAATATCTCACATACACTAACGCCACATATTAGATCCATATCAGTTAATAAATACTTTGACAAAACGGCGCCAATCCGTAAGCAGCGTAAATGACGTCATCCTAAGTAAACAACTCATTCATAAACAAGCTGACGTTATTTCATACATACAAGAATGATAAATGGGGCACTGATGTAAACACGATACGACGTAAGTTTTTATTGTTGAAAACTTGATAAAATAACGTTTTTTTTTCTTATTATTTCTTTTGTTTGATAATTTCTATATCTTCGCAACAGTAGGGTGCGAAAATCGAACAGCGTTATACGAAAATCGGCACCGGAAGTTATTTCCGCTTGTAAAATAAGTTTAGTGATTTTCCCTATTTTATCGTGTTAGAATCGAAATAACATCGGCCTGAGAAGTGTATATCGGCTATTTAACACCGGTTTTGTCGTTTTGATGCGACAAAATTAACCACTCAGGCCTACGGCCTTCGTGGTCAATTCCTACGCATCAAAACTCCAAACCGGTGTTAAATAGCCGATATACACCTCTCCAGGGGGTCGAACGTATAGCGGTGCGATACTCCTTTAAGCGAGGTGAATTCATGCGATACGTCGTAATGGCGGATTTGTCCGTGTAAACACACGTCAAAGTAAGTGTTTTTTTATTAATTATTTCATAAACCTTCGATTACAATTGCATATTTTGTATTGAGGATGTGAAGATGGGACCGACACACATTTCATCAAAATAACAGAGACCTAAATTCATAATTAAAAAAGTTATTGAAGGTAAACTGACGGCAACCAATTTTGTGTCGGTGAATAAAATCGCTTAATACAAGCTTATATTAATATAGTTTATTTCTTTTTCTTGTTTATTCTATAAGGGTTATCATAATTTAGTTGCATAGCAAGTACCTTTGTGCTCCGATATACATAGACGCTTACTGGTCAAAATATTTTAGTGTACGCTGGGTTTTGGTGCGATAAAATAACTGTACGCTGTTAAAGGTTCGATATTTCTTCATTATCACATCTGTTGTACATGTTTTCCTATGATTATATTAAGAGATCTGCATTATATGTGTCCGTTTCCTGATTTCTGAAAAAAATAAACTTCTTCTTATTTACTTGAAATAAAAGTTTCGTATAACCATCTATACTCGTATAAGTGTTTGAACTTAATTTGAATAACTAATAATAATTATCCTGTGATAATTAGGAGTTGGAAAAAGTAACCTTTACTCTACGATCTTATATAACTATATTTCTTGTCATCTCTCAATTTTAAAAAAAACGTTCATAGCTACTGTATCTTCATTCCAAAAATGTGTCGCCCTTTTATACAACCAGAGTCTTGTTTTTGTACTGTATCTTGTTTGTGATTTATATTTCCTTTTGAGCATGGACTTTGTGTTAAGTTTTTTTTTCTGCAGTCTAATTTATTACTAAAGAATCTGTGCAATTTAATTTTGAAGTTTACTTTCCACTTCCGTTCATGATATGTCTGACATTTGATTTTTTTGCTCTTGATATTGATAAAAATATATTATTATAGACGTTGAAATATGTTTTTTTTTCAAAACGGCTTATTTTTAGTTTTTTTGATAAATGATCAGTACATATGCTGGGATTGACAAATATGCATTTATTTGGATTTTAAATGCGTTTTGAGCTCCACATCCCAAGTGTCTGTGAATATTCGCGAAATTCACTGCCAATATGATTGCCTCAAAAACGCCAACCTCAAGAAAAACTCGAAATATTGTTCCGCGAAAGTATTCTAGGAATACAATATATTTTTACCATGTGTATCTTTTTACATTTACTCATTTTTTTTCTTTCCAGTGTTTAAAGATGCCACGTTATAAGAAAAAATCACACTTGAGACTTTATAAAAAATGTCAACGCAAAAGAAAACTTCAAACATCACCATCACCGTTCAAAGCAAAGAAAAGAATCTATAAATATAATTCACCTGCAGCTGCTAAAAGTCTTCAAATATTTCTCTCTCCAAATAAAAATGAAGTCAGTGTTACAATTTCTCCTTCTCCGATGGTCATTCAATTTTTACAGAAATCTCCAACAGTTGCCGTTTCAGAAAAAAAAAGCAAAAGAAAACTTGCTTTTGGATCAGATTATTCAGGAGACAAAGAAAAAAATGAATTAGAAAGAACAATTGATCTCTTAAAATGTCTTGTTGAGAAAGGTGCTTTTTCAACTAACAATATTGCCTTCAAACTATTTCAAGATACATTAAAATGGCATTCGTGCAGCAATACGTCTGGCATGAGATACTCCGATGAAGTAAAAGAATTCTTCTGGACTGGGAGAAGATTATTAGGGGACCAGTTTTTGCGATTCATGCGCGGATTTGCACACAGGGGATTTGTTGTTCAAGGTGACATGTCCAAGGGCAATTATGACCCTTTGGAAACTGATATCAATTTTTCTGTACCATCTGAGCGTACCTTAGACGATTTTCGCCCGCTTGATATAGCATTCAGTGGAAATTTGGAACCTGGCATTATCCATGAAAATATTGAATTATATTCAAAGGCTAATCCAGATGTGTCTTGTATCGTTATGTTTGACGGGAAAAAAATTGTTCCGAATTCTGCAGATGTTTATCTTTTAGATAAAGAGGAGGAGCCAAAGTTGTCTGATATCAAATCTGAATTTGAACACAGATGCGTGTTGATAGATGAATTGATTAAATTGTTTGAAGACATCTATGAAAGAGGATTCTGTAACGCAAATGAGATAACACCAATCGAAAGGGAGCAAATAGTTAAAATGAGTAAAAAGGTTCTTGGATGCATTGGTAATGCTATCAAATCGCTCAGAAAAACATATGCAAAAAAGAAAGTGTATGTTAACACACTTGAGAAAAAATTAAAAGATTCAAATGATGGTAAATTCAAATATGCTTTGAATAAAATCAGGACTCTACAGTATCAAATTAGTATCTGTGTGAAAGATATGCTTCAAGTTGTTAATGATATTCTCCGGTTTTGTGCCATTTTGAATAAGAAGGAACATTTGTTTAAAGTAAATACTTGTAATCTGCATTTTCAACAAAACTACAGGGAGCTTAAGACACCTGAAGAAATTAAAAGAACATGCGGAATTGAACCCAACAGAGTAGAACATACAGAAATACTGAAACAGAGAACTGAAGAATGGTTTGAATTACGCAAATCTGTAAAAGTAACAGGAAGCGTTTTACACAGAGCAATCGGTATGGATACTCTTGTAGCACAGAAAGAACACTATGATATTGTCGTTGGTGGAAAAATAGCTCCTGAAGTCAGCAACACTCAACGAGATGCAATGTCACACGGATCTGAAAATGAAATTAACGCTGTGGCAACTTTTGTGTGCAAAGTGATGCCTACATATTTCCCAAATTATACATTCTATGAAGAAGGTGCATACAAAATTGTGAATGAAAACGGCAAAAGTTTGGTTGTTGTTTCCCCTGATGGCAGTTTACGTGACACTAGTAGACAATCAGTTTTGTCTGTGGAAATTAAATGCCCCTATTCATCTTATATTGGGTCAACACCAGTATATTACGAGATGAAACAAGGGCATGTACTTCAAAACCTAACAGAAGCCCACGTTTTAAAATCGGATGAGCATATATACATAAGTTGGAGTAAAGAATCTACAACTGTGTTCCGAATGTCAAAGAATGAGGAATTGTTGGAAAGGGCCTTGGAGCAGGTAAATGAAATTTATTACCAAGACATACCAAGAAGACCGATAAAGGTTTCACAAGCTGTAAAGGCACTCAAAATCAATATACAAAAGGTGGCATCAAATGCCGAGTTTATTTGTGAAGTACCATCAATAGTTGCAAAAGTGAGCCATGATGAATATGACGATGCAGTATCTCCGTATTATGAACCAAGCAGGGAGAGAAATACAGCTGAGACTGAAATTTTTCTACTTACAGATATGATACAATGCCTACATAAAGGCAAGCAATTAGTTATGAATGCTTTCGGTTTCCAGAAGCCAGTCTCATCTGAAGTTCTAATCCATTTAGTAAGTGACATGAACAGAACTTGGAAGAAGGAGGTAGGACATGGTTTGCCTATATCTTACTTATTCAAAGGATACAGTTTAACCATGGGGACTTCAAGACGTATTCTAGATGAAGTGTTGGATTCATGTCAAGCTTCAGGACTTCATGTACCATGTGTAGCATTTGATGGTCAGTTCGCACATCTGAAAGACACTGATGCCGACAACAACACGAGCACATTGTTTGCTTTTCAAAGGCAATTTTGGTTGAAGGTAAAAAGGCTTTCAAAACGTGAACTAATCTTAGCTATATGCAATTCATATGCCGAATGTAGTGTAACCAGACAACAACTGCCAGAAACCGATGAGACTGGTGAAAGACAAGATTGTTATGGTAGATATGAAGTAGTAAATAAAAAGCGAGGCATTAAACCAATTATTAGTGAAGTGGATATTATCTTTAAGAAAGCTAATGCACAGTCTGAATGTGCTGATAATACTGAAATAACTGACTGTAATGAACTTGATGAAAGTGTTGTTCAGATATTACAACAAATTGTTGACCAACCTGATGATCATTTATCTTCACAGTCGTATTCAAATCCTGGTAATAGAGATTCAGATAATATTAATAATGAAGAAAATGGAGCAATTGAAACTTCAGTAAATAAAGAATTGCAGACATTAATTTTACAGGCCGATGATTATGAAGTCATTTATAAGCTGCTTTGTTCCTCAAAAAGGTTATCCAAATGGAGAAATATAATAAAAGAAGACCTTATAAAAATCTTTGAGTCAGCATCATTGATGAAAAGTGAACTCACTGGACAAGAACTACACGAAATTGTAAAATACATAAACATAAAACTGTCAGGAAAGAATGCGGCAATTAAACAAAGTCTAAGGAAATCTGTAAAAATCAATTGCCTCTGTGCAGTGCTGGGAAATAATTCTACCATTGAAACAAAAGAGAAACCAAGACGTTCAAGGAAGATAGTAACCTTGAAATCTCTCTGTATAGCCGAGATACAGAAAAGAACATATCCCAAGGACGCTGTAGCAGTTTCCCATGCCAAAAGTGTTTGGCAAGCTGAAGAACAGTCCTGGTACGAAAGTTCAAAAACTCATGTTTCAACAGAAATATCTGTTAACTCTGCTTTTGAAAATAACACTGAACAAATTTTAAGTTTTAAACCAGTTTATTCACCCGTATATAATGAGAAGCGTCAACAGCAAGAAGTTTGCTTAATGGATGGAACCCATATACGTACAAACATCAAATCAAAATTGATTCGTTCAAATCTTGGCAAAGTAAGTTTAAGTGCATGGAAAAGAGTTGCTTTGTCTGGTAAAACTGATTTGGCACCCGCCATGCTTGAAGTGCTACACGACGGTAAAATAATGCACCAGCAAAGTGACCCTTATGTCAGAACGATGTTCAGTAAAGAGGTGGAAGTGGAACTTGTATCAAACGGAAATGTTGAAGAGGCCAGATTCTGTAAACTATTTCGAGAGTGGCATGAGGCTGAAGATATGGCAGGAATTTCTGCTAAAGAGAGATGTATGCGCAGCATGAGATTTAGAAATTGGTTATTGGAAGGCTACAGGTTTGATCAGTTTCCTCCTGTTTCGCAGTATGTGAAAGGAATTCCACGAGTCACATTTGAGGGGTTAGTGTGCAGTATAGATGTACATTTGCTACTTTATGGCCTTACTATTACTGGAACTTACAACTGGAGATCAGTTTCCACATTAGTAGCTGAAAACTTTATGGGGGAGCTTGCGGAACGCTCACAAAACAACCATGGTGTACCATCAGGGAGTTCATTGCAAGTGGATATGGCAAAAATATCAGAGCTTCATGCCATGAGGCTAAAGCCAACAAGGTGAGATAAAATGCCAATCAAAGACACTTTTAACATGACATTTCAGTAATAACATAGGATTGTATTATTGTCTTTTTTTCTTCAGTCTTATCAGTGATAAAAGTCACAAGGACCGTTTTCAATTTGGAGTATATATTATAATGTTTAAAATATTTCTTGTATAGATATTTCTTTTTATTCAATGCTAATGATTTTAAAACATGTTCTTTGTAAAGGATTTCCTTAAATATATTATGTCACTTATGTTTTCTTATGTCTGCTTCAATGCAGCATAAACGTGCTGCAAACGGGAATTCAGTGCTTGAATGATTGGAACAAAAATACAGTTATTGGAACATAACAAATATTGGAATAAAATTATTCAATATTTTACTTGCGCTCTAATATTAAAGGGTAAAGAATACAACTTTCAATTCTTCGATACATAATTTCAGATCATTTCAAATGAAAACTGCAAAGTCAAGGGCATACACGATTCCCAGTGATCTAAATGGAGGTTTCTCTTCTGACCAAGACAGTTCAAAAAATACCAATGATACCACAGACATCGAGAATTCAACGGGCATTAAATTAAGTCCTGTTCCTGAACAGAAAATTTCTTCATTAACTATAAGGTAAACAATATTTATTAGTTTTTTTTTTCTTATTTAACATGATTACATAATAAATATCTTAAACAATAAATTTATAGCTTCATTCTAATGTATAATTTTAAGTAGAGATATCGCCGGGCGGAAGCAACATTCGACTTTTTTTTCTTACAGCAAACAAATATACTGTTCAAACAAAATTTTAAAAAGAAAATTAAAGAAAACAAATTTAAATATTTCCTTTTGTTTATTTTAATAGGTCTGTCTATTCACACTTGTTGTTTTGTCCAAGTATGAATCTTTTCCTTAAATGACAATGTTAAGAAAATATAATGAAAGATCAAGTCATTGAAAGGTCAAGGTCATATATAAATTAATCCACACAAGTGTTGTTTTGTCCAAGTATGAATCAAATCCGTACATACATAACAAAATTATGACAACTTAATCAAACAATACTTTCACCTTATCATCAAGGTCAGTTAATGCTCAAGGTCAAGGTCAGTACAGCCTTTTAGTACCTTATCATCAAGGTCAGTTAATGCTCAAGGTCAAGGTCAGTTCAGCCTTTTAGTAGGTCTTTTCCAAAAGGTTGTTTTGTCCAAGCGTGAATATAATCCATTGATTAATTACCAAGTCACAGTCAATTACAGCAAAAAGGCAGTGAAAATTCTATAATTTAACATTTAATATCAAGGTCACTACAGAGTCAAGGTCATTTTGAGTTTGATATACATGAAGGCCTTATCCTTAAGAATGTTGCTTCTTAAAAAGAAGTCAATCCATTAATTAATAGCAAAGTTATAAGCAAACTTTCCATAATTTGACTTTAAGGTCAGTCAGTTTTAAGGTCAAAGTCATTATGACTGAAGGTCAAGATCTGTCTGGTTAACTTGAAAGTCTACCTTTAAATATTATTAACCAATTTTCATTGTCTTCTATTAATAGTTTATCCAACAAGTAAAATTTTAAAAACTTGCCTCATTTTATGAATAAAATACTTTTTATGTAATATTTCAGAGACCATGAATTTGATATCAGAGTGTCTGGGAAAACAAAAAAAGGCGTACTGCGAAAGTTTGGAGAAAGACCAAGAGGGGTGCAATCGGTTCGAACTCATTACAAAATTGATGAAAGTCAAATATTACCTTCTTTAAGTTTAGGACTAACTGAGGATATGCTCCTATAACCCAAAAAGAAAGTTTTGATTCTTTTAACAGCTTTATTGAAAGTTAAATGAACATATCACACAATAGTGAAATTTAAAACAATGTATCTTTGTTATGACTAGAGTTTGATAGTTTGCAGTTCTTACACATTAAAATTTCCTAAAAAATAATGATAATCATAATTATTTTTCAAGTACTATGGATTATAAGTTAAAGCAGCATGACTCAAGATTCATGGTAATTTTTATGAAAAATATTGAAAATGTACTTAGTATTAAAATAGGTAGAAGTAAACAAGGAAAGATATTTACATATTGTACAAGCCAATGTAACAATCTACCTAAATTACTAAATAGTTCAAAGTTTGCAAATAAAATCCTTATCGGATTAGTGAAGTAGAAATATTGTGATGAATACTGCAAAATCAGTCATTAACTGAGCATACCATGTGAATTATTACTTGACATTCAAATCTTTTTACATTTCATAAAATATATGTAAATTTTGCTAGAGTCTGATTTTCTAGAAATATTTTGGCCAGTCTGCAGGCATGCTGCTTTAATTTAAATGGCTGTTTTCAAGCATTTAACATAAAGTATCACTAGTGAAATAGTTAAATCAGTGTTTTAATTTTGAAAAAGAGATTTTTACAAAAAAACATTTTGTATATATTTACTGCTGTTGCAAAGATTATTCCTACTGAAGTATTATTTTGCAAATCTTGATTTAGCCTTTTAAAAACATTATAAACAATTGAATGCCTTTTATCTTAACTATACTGGAAAAAACTGCAAACCATCATGGCATTTGGAAATATTTGTAAACATAATATCATATAAAAATGAGATCATAGTGCTGCCTGCACAAAAAGAGTAAATAAATAAAAAATAGTAATAAAAAGTATTACTCTCCAATAAAAGGAATGTTTAACTCAAAATATATTATATCACTTTAAAGGATATACAATATTTACACAGTGAAGAGGGAATTGTGTCTGTCAGAAAGACATATATATTATATCACTATTTAACATTTTACATTTCTACTTCTTTGGCAACAATAAAGAATTGTACTGTTTAATATTAATTGAGGTATTTGGTATGCCTAATTTGAGCCTTAAATTCTAAGGGTAGCTATGTATAAAACTTTTGAAAATATTCAGCAATATTTACAGATCAAATAAGTGAAATATTTTCATGTAGATGGACTGAAAAGAGGAATAAAAAGGTTTGGCACCTTTTAAAAAAGTGTTTCTTGTTGTTTTACTTTGTTTATTTTTAACTTCCATTAAATTGAATGTCTATGGGGATATCCATTTGCAAAGATACTTCTTCAATAGAAAAAAATTAACAGGTATTAAAATAAACAACATTGAAATATAAAAAATACACAATTAAATATAAACAATATAACATAACCATGAACATCAAATTTGCATATCAACATATGCCTATTCTTATTCACCAACTAACACATATTAAACTGGAAAATGTGTGCCAGACTATGCATGATGTTTTACTCTCCCTTGAAAGAAAAAACTTGACCTAACTGGCAAGATGTTACTCATGAAATTATAAACAAAGCTTATAATAAATGAAAAATAAGGAAAACCATTTAACTAAAAATAGTATTTCTCTACTCCAATTTAGCATAAAAACATTAAAGCCTAATAGAAATAAATGAGCCGTGTCACGACAAAACCAACATAATGGGTTTGCGACCAGCATGGATCCAGACCAGCCTGCGCATCCGCGCAGTCTGATCAGGATCCATGCTGTTCACTATCAGTTTCTCTATTTGTTATAGAGTTTGTGAGCGAACAGCATGGATCCTGACCAGTCTGCGCGGATGCGCAGACTGGTCAGGATCCATGCTGGTCGCAAACCCATTATGTTGGTTTTGTCGGGACACGGCTCTAATAGGTGTTTTTATATGATTTATCTTAATATAATCTTATTGAAAACTTTTATATGGAAAATAGCAAGGTATAAAATGTAAGCACCTTTCATTGAACATTGATAATAGTGGTAAAATATAACACCAGTACCATACTAATGTGTGTGTGTGACAACAGTGAACTGGTGTTAATTACAATTTAGCTATTTTACAAAGTATCAGTGAGGTAATGAACAAATTTCAAGCCTTTTTATATAAACTTTAAATAAAGAAATGATGTTATATATGTAAATTTGGATACAATTTAATCCAACCAATCTCAAAGATGGTATTTTCAGAAATAGATAATGTTTTTTTCACATGACATGGAAATAATGTTTCAAAACTCCTTTATGCATACCTGCTTCAAAAAATATTAACAGAAACACAGCTATCTTTGTGATTAGACTATTCATAAGCAATGCTAGAAAAATAAATTGAACCCTTCTGATTACTAACCATCACAATTCATATTACTTATGACAAGTCTTTTTATGTTCTTTATAGCTTGATCGCCATCTGAAATTTCTTCCACATACAGGGCATACAATCTTTCCTTCAGCATGAATCAGTTTATGCTGTTTGAGATACCTTTTGGCTTTAAAAGATTTATCACACATCTCACATTTGTGTATAGCTGCGACTCTTTTTTCTTTAGTACATACTTTTGATACATGATAGTTTAGATTTTTTTCGTAACTAAAGTATTTCTGACATTTTTCACATTTAAATGGTTTGGTCTCTCCATGACAGGCTGACTGGTGACCAAGAAGATGACCTCTGTTGCTGTATACTTTCCCACATTTTTCACAAACATAAGGCCCTTTATTTAAATGCTTTATATCTATGTGACGCTTCAGACAATACTTGGTCTGAAAAGATTTCCCGCAATATTGGCACAGATGTTGAAAACCTGAGTGTATTTCTATGTGTTTGTCCAACCGGTCCTTTGTTATGTAGGACTTGTCACACATGTTACAGCTGAACTGGTATTTCCCATCTTCAGTGTGAATGAGTAAATGGTTTTTTAAGCTTTTCCTGCAACTGAGTCTTTTTCCACATATACCACAAGTATTTTCATCACTTCCTGAACTGAAAGTAAAACATGTATATTTTAAATAGAAGTATTACCTACAAGTATTATCATTTAATATGTGTAATAAGGAGTAATACAAACTGGCTTGAAAGTGGCTTTTAATGAACAAGCAGGAACAATAGGAATGAGTTTCAAGAAGAAATTAGGAAATAGTAGGGAAAAAATAGGAATTTGACCAAGAAAAGTAAGAATGAATTTAAGAAACCTATTAAGAAATCTTGTATAAATTAACTCACTTTCAAAGCAGAACATTTCAGAAAAATAGCAGTTAATATGTGATATAAGGGGTGTGTTACTTCATGAGGTTCTAAGATCTTTTATACATGCTGCTGTCAAACTGGTTTTTTTTTTTCAATTTATAAATAGAATTGAACATTTCAAACAACCTTTAAAATACAGTGAAAGTACATTTCAGTGCTGTTCTAGAGATAGAGACTGAGAAACAGGTGGTACATCTTTTCTAAAATGTTGCTTAGAACAGACTATTTTTGTAGTGCACATAATTGTGGCCTGTCAGGAAAAACACAAAACTTCAATTTCAGACTTCAGTCAGTCATTGGACACCAATCAGTTCAGTGTCTTTTTTAGGAACAGCTGATGCTCACATGTAAAAAATACACAGTAGTAAATGTTGCAGAGCAATTAAAACATTACAACTTAATTTACAAACAAAACTACTGCCAGATAGGGAAAGTACCAAAAGTACAAATGCTGACACATGTGCAAATAAACATAAGCTATTGAGTATATATAAGATTGAGTCACACTGGTTATGGAGTAAGTATATAAATATCACATGGATTTGTGGGTAACAGTTAAAATATCATCCCAAGGAAAATACTATTACCCAAGATGTTAGCTGGAAACAGTATTTTTAGGAGGGATAATATTTTTACTGTTACTTATAAAAGCTTGTGTATTAATAATTTTATTTCCCAAACAAAAACTGTAATGTATAATACTTTTATTTACATAAAAAATACTTTACCAGATTTTTATACTGTTAAAAAGTACTGTTGCCCTGTAACAGTACAAATCTCTTAGTCACATGGTACACTTGCTTTAACAGTAACAATAACTCCAAGTGGAAATGAATATTTACAAAAAAAGAGATGGGTAATACTATACATTAAATGTTGCAGAGAAATCCTAGTTTAAAAAGCAAAACTACTGGCAGATATGTTTAATCATCAAAAGTATGAATGCTTTCATAAGCAAATACACAAAGCTGTTAATGATGGAGTAGAATAATTATATATTCAAAGCACAGAGCTAATGACAAACATCAGAATTACTGAAATACACAATGATATGCTCTGTATATAATATATAACATCCAATCCATAGAGGAAATCAAACCAGTATTTTTTTTATAAATTTAAAGTTCCATTGGAAAAAAAAGAAGAAAAACACACACACACACACAATTTATTACAGGTACTTCTCAAGGTATTGAATGAACATAAGAATGGATGAAAGTGTTTTTCAACCAGTGCATGTAATACAATAGTAGATCCACTTCTCATATGTTGCTGTTTTAATTAATAAAGTGTTTTTTTTCTGACAACATAATTATGTTATTAATAATAGAAAAATGTATCATTAAATGAAAAACCTTTACTGAATGAATGGAATAAACAAAACGAATATTATCGTGACTATTGATAATTTGATAGAATTTCAAGTTTCTGTGCAATAACTTACCTAATTTTAATATTTTACCTTTGTGAGAAAAGAATATTTAAATTAACTATATCAATCATAGTATAATACATTAATTGACACTGTTGTTTTAATTGACACTGTGATTTGCATATGATCAACATACAAACATAAAACTTGATATTTCATCAATTTTTAATAAGAATGTAATGTAATGAGGAAGTTGCTACAGAAAAACACACCAAAATTTTAGCGTACAGTAGGTTTATCGGAACAAATATTAGGCGTACAGTAAGAAAACTGCAAATATTGTATATATTATCGGATAGATATGGAAAACTATTCTTGTATATCGTTTTTTTATCAAAAATAAACATGTTGGGACTTAAACTAATCGAATATCTCGTTTTAAAACTACTGATACACTATTCGTTTGCATGTGCATATCAGGTTGACGGTTGAATTTGCAGCAACAAATACCTCAATAACTTCCTCAGTACTATAAAATTTAGTATTTTATTTTGACGATCATGAACAATTATAAGTTCTGATCAGCATGCACAATGCTATTCTTCAAGAAATTACAATAGACAACAAATATTTGGAAAAAAACATGCTCATACCCACTTTCGTTTTCACTTTCGTCGTCCATTACGGCGTGTCGCATGAATTCACCTCGCTTAAAGAAGTATCACACCGCTATACGTTCGACCCCCTGCTCTCAGGCCGATGTTATTTCTTAATTATTAACTATAACGACGTTTCAATATTCCCATTACCAGGGGGTCGAACGTATAGCGGTGTGATACTTCTTTAAGCGAGGTGAATTCATGCGACACGCCGTAATGGACGACGAAAGTGAAAACGAAAGTGGGTATGAGCATGTTTTTTTCCAAATATTTGTTGTCTATTGTAATTTCTTGAAGAATAGCATTGTGCATGCTGATCAGAACTTATAATTGTTCATGATCGTCAAAATAAAATACTAAATTTTATAGTACTGAGGAAGTTATTGAGGTATTTGTTGCTGCAAATTCAACCGTCAACCTGATATGCACATGCAAACGAATAGTGTATCAGTAGTTTTAAAAGGAGATATTCGATTAGTTTAAGTCCCAACATGTTTATTTTTGATAAAAAAACGATATACAAGAATAGTTTTCCATATCTATCCGATAATATATACAATATTTGCAGTTTTCTTACTGTACGCCTAATTTGTTCCGATAAACCTACTGTACGCTAAAATTTTGGTGTGTTTTTCTGTAGCAACTTCCTCATTACATTACATTCTTATTAAAAATTGATGAAATATCAAGTTTTATGTTTGTATGTTGATCATATGCAAATCACAGTGTCAATTAAAACAACAGTGTCAATTAATGTATTATACTATGATTGATATAGTTAATTTAAATATTCTTTTCTCACAAAGGTAAAATATTAAAATTAGGTAAGTTATTGCACAGAAACTTGAAAT